GGAGATTTGTGTTCCTGTTTGCTCTTTCTCTCTCTCTCTCTTACTCAAAAGCCTGTAAAATGCAGGATCAGGTTAATGGCCCATCAAGTCCATCATCTCAAAATGCACATTGACTCCACTATGCTGCATTTTGTTCAAGATGTCTCTTCCCACCCTTCTTTCTCTGCCTTTTAGAGGCAATGTTCTGGTACTAAGCTGAGTTTTTGGGGAGAAAGTAATGCCTGAAGTTTTCAGTCCTGCTGCACTCTAGTAATGTTATTGGAGAGGGAGAATGGCATAGAGGTGTGTGTGTGTGTGTGTGTGTTGCGTGATAAGCTACAGGGGAGGTGTATGTAGCCAGCAAGAAGTGTCAAATCAAGAGAGGCCTCCTTGCTGGGCTTCCTGTGCCTCTTCTTTCCTTTTTGGTCAGAGCTGTTGAATGACACACCTCATTGATTGACTGATCAGTAGGATGTGTATAGTGGTTGGGTTGCATCATTTTAAAGGTGAAAGCCTTCAAGGGACCGTCAACATGATACCCTCCAGATGTTGCCAGACTCCAACACTCATCATCTCTGACCTTTGGCTATGCTGGCTGGGGTTGATGGGAGTTGGAGTCCAACAACATCTTAGAGGACACCACATTGGCTACAAAAACACCCCCTTCTCCTATATCAGGGTGGGGAACCTCTGACCCATGGTAGGGCTGGGCAATATATTGACGTATCGTCCAAAACCGGTTTGAAGTTTGCATCATGATAACTGATTCAAAATATTTGAGCTGGCAATATATCACGAATCACAGTGTGTGTAAGGGCTAAGCGATACCTGGTTTTCAAGATTGCGATAACTCACCAGCTACACATCGTGATAAGTCACCAGTTAAACATCGTGATAACAGCTAAACATTGCTATGTTACTGGCAGCTAAACCTCACAATGTCACCAGCTAAACACTGCAGTGTTAGCCACCAGTTAAACATTGCAACCTACCACAATAAGGATGGAACTATACAGAGGCCTGTGAGGACTCACAGCAGTGATTGGAGGTGGCAGCAGTAGCGACAGTGGCCTGTGAGGCCTCATGGTGGCAATGGCAACAACCTGCAAGGCCTCACGGCAGTGATGGAGTGATTGTACTGGTAGTGGACTGTGAGGCCTCGCAGTAGCGATGGGAGATGGTGGCAGCCTGCAAGGCCTTGTGGTGGTAACAGGGAGTGATGGCAGTAACTGCACCCTGCAATGCTTTGCGGCGGTGACAGCAGGTGGCAGCAGTAGCGCCAGCCTGCAAGGCCTTGTGGCAGCAACGAAACATGGTGGCAGTAACGGCAGCAGCCTGCAAGGCCTCGCAGCAGTGACAAGAAGTGGCAGCAGAAGCAACGGTGGCCTGTGAGTTCTCACAGCAGTGACAGGAGGTGATGGCAGTAGCAGCATCATGCAAGGCCTCGCAGTGGCAACAGGAGATGGCAATAGTAGTGGCAGCCCGCAAGGCCTTCTGGCGACACAAGCAGTGGGGCTAGTGAGGCCTCGCCATGTTGACAAGAAGTGGCGGTGGCCTACAAGTCCTCCTGGCTGTAGTGGGAAGCAGTGGCAGGAGCTGTGGCAGAAGGCCTTAGTGAGGCCTTGCAGGCCAGCACTACTGCCGCCATGACGACAAGGCCTTGCAGGCTGCCACCGTTTCTGCCGCTGCCACCCACTGCCATAGTGAGGCTTTGCAGGCTGCTGATTATTGTGCCACTGTTGCCACGCTGCCGCTGCTTCTGCCCCGCTTCCCTGCTGTGGTTGATTCTGCCCCCACCATGCTGCTGCCACTTCTGCTGCTTAGCAGGTTTGCTGGCAGTCTGGCAATCCCAGGTGATTTGTATTCACTATGACTCATCACCGTCCTTTGGATTGTCCTGAATACCACCATTTGGTAACCAAGCCCAAACCCAAAAGTCTCATTGGATGCATTTGACTTGCCTGCTGCTGAAAGTGACCATGAGGTGGTTGATAATATCATCATTTATCCATTTTAGACCCTTAAGTAGTAGCAGTTGCCACAACATTGTCCTGGTTGCCTGCGTTGTTCCTTCCTTATTTCAGTTATCATGATATATTGCTATATAGCAATGTTTAGCTGGTGATATATTGCAATACTGAAAACCAGTTATCGCCCAGCCCTACCCATGGGCAATATTTGGCCCACCAGGCCTCTTCATTTGATGTGCCAACCCTTTTTGGTCAAGCAGTGCCCACTATATTTAACCTTCTTGGCCAAGAAACTTGACCCTCCAAGAAACTTGAGGTTGCATACATGCTTCTGCTCCTCTCCATTTTATCCTCTCTGCAACCCTGAGAGGTAGGCTAGGCTTCATGGCTGAGTTGGGAGTTGAAACCCCTGTTTCTGAGTAGATCTTGATCTACTTTCTGCTAATCCCAGGCTATTGAAGACATAGTCTTAATCCTGCCAGGTCCCCAGTTCAAGACCCACTTTGGGCTCTTACAGAAGTGGCCTTGGTGCTAACTTCCATAAAGGTAAGGGTAAAGGTCCCATTAGGTCATGACCAACTCTGGGGTTGCGGCGCTCATCTCGCTTTATTGGCCAAGGGAGCCGGCGTACAGCTTCCGGGTCATGTGGCCAGCATGACTAAGCCGCTTCTGGCGAACCAGAGCAGCGCACAGAAATGCCGTTTACCTTCACGCTGGAGCGGTACCTATTTATCTACTTGCATTTGACGTGCTTTCGAACTGCTAGGTTGGCAGGAGCAGGGACCGAGCAACAGGAGCTCACCCCGTCGTGGGGATTCGAACCGCCGACCTTCTGATCAGCAAGTCCTAGGCTCTGTGGTTTAACCCACAGCACCACCTGCGTCCCCTACGCTAACTTCCATAGGTCTGTCTTTATCTAATTCATGAGTTGAATTCAATACATATGTTGAGATGTTCAGACGAAGAACCAAATTAATACGGTGATTAGATTCCCAACCAATTTTTTCTGATTTCCTCTTCTCATTCTTTCCCTCTCCCTCTCTTCTGGAAATGATTTCTTCCAATACAAAGCAAAGTGTGGCATAGTGGTTAGAGTGCTGGACTAGGAACTAGAAGACCAGGGTCCAAATCCCCATTCAACTGGTGTGTGTGTGTGTTGACCCTGCGACCAGTCACTATCCACCAGTCTAACCTACCTCACAGGGTTGTTGTGATGAGGGAAGAAAGAAGGATGAATGCCCCCTTGAGCTCCTTGGAGGAACTGCAATAAGGAAAAAACAAAAAACAAAAAAAAACCCCACAGCTTAACCGTGATTAGATATGAAGTAGTCCCCAAAACACAGCCATCTTTTTTTGGAAGAACAGAAGGGAGTAAAAGCTGAAATGGGGTTTGGGCCAGTAAGTCTATTAAACCTTCCCTCTTTCAGCCATTGGCTTTTGTGGACTGGGCACAGATTGTACCCTTTAAATAGTGGCCTTTTCCTTCTCTCTCTCTCCCCCCCCCCAACCCCCTGGCCCAGTCCTTACCTCTCTGTCTCCCAGGGATTTACCCCTGCCATGCCTGCAATAACAAACAGCCTGAGGAATGGGGGCAGATGGCTTCTTTCCAAACAGTGAGGGTCTGTCTCCTCTGGGCTTGTTCCCTGCTGAGACGGCAACAACAGCAGCCCAGGGAATCAGGCAGATGGTCTACTGGCCGCTACTGGAGTAATTGTCTCGGCTGGTTACCTCTGCAGCTAGCAAAACCCTCTGTTTTGTAGGCCCCCATCAAAGTGATCATATTTTCTTTTTTTCTCTTCCCACCCACTCTCTGACCTGTTTTTCTGCTTCGTACTTTCTTCTTCTTCTTCTTCCCTCTCTCTCTCTCTCTCTCTCTCTTTTTAATGCCCCACCATCTGGAGACGCAATACCTAGGAAGCTCGAAGCATGAAACCAGCACCCTCGTGCTGTTTCAAAACGCACACCTGAGCAAGGTTTTCTGTAGGTGGCAGAAACGGTGCTTTTTAAAACCCGTCTCCTCTCAAGCACTCATTTTCCTGCTTGGAAGTATTAAAAAAGGTGTGATTTTTGAAAGCGCTTCTCTTCTGCATCAGCAGCAGTGTCAGTGAGGATTTAAACAAATACTGTGAGTTTTTGTTAAAAAAACTTTTTGGTTTTTTTCTTCTTCTTTTTCTTTATCCCCACATTGAGAAGATTAATAGTGACTATGTGACATTCTTATGCTGATTCCAGATTGTTGCCTGGGAACAGGATACTTCATCTGACTCCCACCACCCAGGAGGATGAGATACCTCCACAGTGGCATGTCCTGTCTGACCTGGGCTTTGGATTCCCAGGGTGGTGGGCTGCAGTTGGGGTGCTCTGGGCCCTGTGTCCACAGTTAGCAAGGTTTGGAATTCTCTGGGGTAGGAGGCAGTGAGAATACACAGCTTCTCTGCCACCTCTGGGTGAAACTGCCACCCTTTTGATGCATTCTCTCATTACCAGTGCTGAAGTTTCAAGTGCCAATCCAGTTTGGTCTTGCACGTGGAATGGTGCAGGAACACCATTTATGAAGAAGGGCCTTAGCACAGTGGTGGACCACCTGCTGCAGAAGGCCACTGGTTCAATCCCCGGCATCTCCAGGTAGAGCTGGGAGAGAACCCAATCCGAAATCTTGGAGAGCCACTGCCAGCCAGTGTAGATAATACTGAACTAGAGGGTTCCTGTGTTATCCTGGCAGGGGTGCCACTGTTTTTGGATTACATCTTCCATCATCTTGAGCTAGCTGGACCAGTGGTCAGGGATGATGGGAATTTTAGTCGAAAAACAGCTGCAGAATCTGTGGACTAGAGATTCCAAGGGTTAGAACTGGGTACGTTTTGAATGCAAAGCATTCCCTCTACCAGTAAGCTATGGACGCTTCCCTAAAACTAAAGGCTCCCCTTCCCTTCCCAAGCAGGCTTGTGGACTTCAACTATTTCAAGGATGATCCCTGCTATTGAGGAAAAGGCTCCTGGGGCAAAGGACCCTTAGGAGTCCCCTAGTTTATTTAGCCTTCTGCCCCCAAGAGAAAGGCTGTAGCTCAGTGGTAGGGCACTTGCTTTGCATGTAGAGGGTCCCCGGTTCAATCCCCAGTGGCATCTTCAGTTAGGGATGGGAATGTCCCCTTTCTGAATCTCTGGAGAGCCTCTGCCAGTTAGTGTAGACTAAACTACAGTCCATGGACCAGCAGAGCCCTGCGAGCTTCATTCAGGTGGTCCATGGCGAGAAGAACACCAGAATTTGAATTCTGTAGAATTCACATTGTGATACAGCAACATACAGCAGAAGAAATAAAAGAAACAGTAAGAACGCCATTAAAAAAGCATGCAGCATCTGGCATAGTACATTACAAGCGGCAGGGAAAAAAACCTTTAAGCCTAAGACCCTTAGCAATTTCCAAGTGGTCTGTTGGGGGAAAGGTTTGGGGACCACTGGTGTAGACAGCACTAAGGTAGATGGACTAGTTTTCTGACCCACAATAAGGCAGCTTCCTGTGCCCCTGATTTTTAACATACCTCATTATTTCTCAAGTTGCTTTCCATCAGTATTTCATTTTTCTGCCCCCTCCTGATATAGCAAATGACTTGAGAACCTCCATGTTCAGAGGCAGTTGTGCCACTGAATGCCGGTTGCTGGGGAGCAACAGCAGGCGAGGAGGACTGATGCTTTTTAACCCTGCTTGTGGTCTTTCCCCAAAGGCTTCCAGTTGCTCAGGGCACAAAGTGGGATGTTGGGCTGAGATGGACCTTTTGGTCTGTCCCAGCAGGGCTTTCCTTCAGCTGCAAGCAGTGGGATGGCGCTGAGGCTGGTCTGTGCAGCAGCTGGCAATCTGCACATGCTCCTGTCATCCCTCATGGAGCTCTGGCTTTTCTTCCCCCCTTGCACAGCATCGTATTTATTTGTCCCTGGTGAATTTATATTTCCCCCCCATTTCTGCTGCCTGCTGGAAAGTATATTCTCAGCGGGTTAGCGAAGACTACTGGTCCCCAGCCAAAGGTCTCCTCCCCCCCTCCTCACTCCCTCCCCTCCTCCCAAGGCACCTGATTCTCTTTCTCTCTCCGTCCCCAAAGAGAGCTTTGGTGCTCTGGAGCATCTGTGTTCCATGCCCAGCAGGGAAGAGACGGAAAATCATGCTGTGGGACCCGCTGACTTTGTTCTGCCTTTGTTCTTCAGGGTGTTGCCTGCAACATTTCTGTGGCGGCCAACTTGTCGCTGACCACTGGGCTCCCTTAATCCTGAGCCGGAGGATTAGTCCAGCCGAGCCCCGCTCTCCTTTTATTCCCTCCCTCGGTTATATTTTGCGCCCCAGCTGACATGTAGTTTGCCCCCCTGCCTATCTTTGTGATTGGCTCCTCCAGTTTTCGAGAAAGCTTTTTCTCCTGACAGGAGGGAGAGTTTGCTCGATTGATTTTCCCCTCACCCTCTCTTCCCAACCCCACCCCCTGCCCCAAATCTCCCCCTTTCCCCCTCCTGTCCTTTTAATCAGGGGGTTTGGAATTTTGTGCTCAAGCAACAGTTCTGCAACTCAGGAGGGAAAACAATCCTACAATCTGCAGCTAGAATATATTGTGCAAATTTGGCAGGCTGCAAGGGGGCTGCTTTGTTGGGATCCCGCTTTGCTGGAGATGTGCTAAACCTGCTCTGTGTGTGCATGGCTGAGAGAGGGGAAAGCAAATGGAGCCACAAACCAGGAAAGGGATGTTTGACGGTTCATACATTGGCAGGAGTAATATTGCTTTCTGTCTTGCATAGGTTTACACATTTTTATTTGCTTATTTCTTAAAAAAGAAAATGCTTTAAAGCAAAAACTGGATACATACTTTTTTTTGGGTGTAGGGGTGGAGTTCTTGCTTGGTTTGCATGTCATGCTAAGCACAACAGAACACGAGTTCAAGTGCTTCAAACTAAAATCATGACTGCTTTGCTCCTTCCTGGGTCCTGCTGCTGCTGCTGCTGCTGCAGTACTTGGAGTTTAGCTATGGTTTGGCTTAGCATTACTTGTGAACCCAGACTTGTGACTTCTCTTGCTCTCAACAACTGTGAGCCAAGGTAGTCAAGGTTTGTTCTTGGCCTTACCATTCATGGTTTGTTTGGCTTAGCTGCTGGAGAAGTGAAGGAGCTGCAAAGTACCCTCATGCTTGCTCATTCACATTTAGCCATGGTTTGGCTTAGTGTTATGTGTGAGCTCAATTTGAATCCGCGCGACAGTGCATTCCCGTTGCTCTGTCCCTACTTCTGCCAACCTAGCAGTTCTAAAGCACGCCAGTGCAAGTAGATAAATAGGTACCACTATGGTGGGATGGTAAACAGTTTTTCTGTGCACTCTGTGCACCAGAAGTGGTTTAGTCATGATTGCCACATGACCTGGAAAGTTGTCTGTGGATAAATGCCGGCTCCCTTGGCCTGAAGGGAGATGAGTGCTGTACCCCATAGTCACCTTTGACTGGATTTAACCATCCAGGGGTCCTTCACCTTTACCTTTATGTGTGAGCTGGAGCAGAGTCTAGCTTGTGGACAGTGGTGACCCATGGAGAGATTCAACTTGCTGGTTGAGTTTATGGTTCATGGAAAGGCTAATAGATGCAACTTTAGGTAAGGTAAAATCTGTTTAGCTCATCAACAAATTGCTCAGACTGGAGAGCCAGGCCTGGGAGAGAGAGCTAATATACAGCCCACAGAGCCCCTATTGGCTCCCCAGGTCACCTGAGTTTGGGCTGATTGGCTGCAGTTTCCTTTCCTACCACTGTCAGGTGTGTGCAGTGTGGATCACCAAATCTCAGGCCAGCACATCCATCCTGTAGGCTTGTATTGGAGCCTACTGTCATAAGCTGTTCTTTCTGTACAGCCCTGGCTTGACTCTATATAAACAAGTTCTCAACATTTTATTCTTTTAAGTGTGTTCAAGCAACCTAAAGTATTCATCTCTTTGCTCCATGCTGTATTTAAATTTGAGTGTAAACATATTTGCTTGTGGTATTCAGTTTGTTTGCTCCAAAAAGTAAATAAGAATCATAAAAAACAACATAGAACCTCAACCGTTGCTAATAATATTGCTTTGTTTTCTGTGTTTGTAGCAAGTAGTATTAAGGGCTCATTCTGTATCTATTTATGGGATTTCCCCATGGACACAAACTCTTCAGAGAGTTCTGTTCATGACGTAGCTAGATCTCAGCAAGAGATTTTGCTGGTGGCCTTGCATCCTGTTCTATTGTCTGTGAAGGAAGAGGCATATTTCTGTGATGGTGTCAATATTTCCTATAGGATAAGTTCATCTTTTCAGGATCAAGAATTAAGTGGTCAATTCAAGGGTGCCGTTGCAATGTGTTTTACTGGCATTAGTGCATCACTTTAATACTCATGAGTAATACCACATCTGGAATAGTGTGTCCAGTTATGGGTGCTACAGTTTAAGAAGGATACTGCCAACCTAGAACGTGTGCAGAGGCAGAAACCCAGATGATCAAGGTTCTGGAAACCAAGCCTTATGAGAAACGGATAAAGGAGCTGGGTATGTTTAGCCTGGAAAAGAGGAAAGTGAGAGAAGGGTAGGACTTGAACCAATGGCTTCAAGTTACAAGAAAGGAGATTCCAACTAAACATCAGGAAGAGCTTTCTGACAGTAAGAGCTGTTTGACAGTAGAACTGTTTCCCAGGAAGCTGTGGACTCTCCTTCATTAGAGGTTTTTAATCAGAGGTTGGATGGCCATCTGTTATGGATGCTTTAGTTGAGATTCCTGTGTATTGCAGGGATCCCTTCCAACTCTACAATTCTATGATTCTAGGGTGTTTCCATTTGTGAATGCTATTTTTCTGCCCTCTACTAGCCACTTCGTTCAAGGTTGTGAGACACAACCTGTGGTCCTTCAGCTCTTGTTGGATTCGAACTCACTTATAGTTGTATCTGATGGAGCACTAAGTAACTTGCTCTGTCAATGTCCCACCCCATCAGTGTCAGGGGTGGACTTTGGTTTTTCAAATTTCAGCAGTGCCCTGTGCAAGGCCCAAATTCAGCATCTCCCTGTCCCTCTCCTTCTGTTCTGCTTCTGTTCTGTTCTCCTTCTGTTCTCAGTTCACTACATCATAGTTGTGGTGCCCTGAGGCAACCCCCTAGACTCAGAACCAGTTCTGCTGCCTTAAGTCCACCTCTGCATCTGTTATGGTGTGAAGGACGAAGATGAGGATTCCCTTCTCTAGCTGCTTTGCCACTTCTCCTACCCTTCTCGCTTACCTGCAAGATGAGTTCTTTACTACCAGGCTAGCCAAGACTCTCCTTCCTCTCTAAATTCCATGTATGCCTGTAATGATTTTTTTAAAGATTCACTTTCCATGAATCTTGCTTTTTGGACAGTTTCCTACTCTGCCTTTATATATTTTAGGTAGAATTTTATGTTTGGATATGGTATAAGGAAGCCTTTCCCTCCAAAGTTCTAACCAACGTTGGTTTTGACTTGAGCAGAGCAACCCCTCCCATTTTGGTGAGGCTGGGAGTAAGTGTCCTTGCAAGTCTTCAAAGAAGAAAGTGAACCAGGAAATGCACATCTATCAAGATACTTTTCAGCAAGCCAAGGACAATATTATGTTAGCCCAACAAATGGGTTATTCAAGCAAAGTTCTACCAAGACAAACAGGAGAAAGTCAAGGATAAGTGAGTTTTCAAGCAGTAAGGGATGTGAGCCTCTTAAGTCATGCTATCAAAGCCCTACAGCCTTGTGGATAACCATGTATGATTTAAAGCCCACCTTCAAAATGGAGTCCAGCACATATATGAAAAATAGCATGTAAACTTTCTTCTGTGCCTCTGTCTCTCTTCTACCCTGTCCTGTTCCCAGAGCTCCCCCCCCCAAATGTTTAGGGGTACTCTCATTTTGACTCAAGAAAATTACCATTTCATAGTTCAAATCGGGAAAAATAAATACAGTAAATGGACAAAAGAAGAAAAGCACTGCCTGTTCCCCACATTTCCTCCATGTCATCTTGTGTGCCCTCAACCCTTTTTGTTGTCAAAATAAGCTTTTTTCCATATAAGAAAGACCACAGAAAAGAATGTGTATGGACTGTAGTCATTTTTCTTGACCCCATTAAATTTTAATGGTTAAATATCTTT